TGATGCAACCTAATGATGCAGTGACATTTCAAATAGTTGTTAGAAGAGAAACTCAAGTCAGAATTCCTTAACCAGCTCATGGAGACTTCTTCCAAAGGCATTTTAATAGCCTACTGAGAATTGCCTTATTTTGTAGACCTATGATTTAAATTAGAAATAAACCAACCAACTCAGCATATAGAAGAACGAGCTAGAAACAAAAGAAGTAAAGTTTGTAAAGTTTGATTTAAGGAAAGCAGTATTGTATTTGCTTAAATCTTGGAAATAAAAAGGAAATCAAGATTCTAAATGTTTAGAAGATTTAAATTTTAATTTAAAAGTAGATTTAAAATTTTAGATTTTAGATTTTAGTAGAGAATAGAAGGGAAGTAGTGTGAAATTTGGTGCTGATTATATACATAGTGAATAGTTTAGAATAATTATGGGAAGCATGATACCGGGAATGTCATTTGGAAAGCCTGAGCAGTAGGGGAAAGAATTTCCTGTTAAGAGGGATAATTTAAACAAAGGATTTGGCAGGTACATATAGGGAATAAGTTTTGTATTCAAGAGATAATAGTGAAAGGCAGAATTGAATATGTAGGTTAGGGTCATAGCTATAATTACAGTACATACATTACAGTAGCTAATTATTAAAAAGATATGGTAAACTATTACCCCAAAACACAAAGACGAATGACTCATGAATATGAATGTTAAATCACATGTAACTCTGATAAATAACACTCTGATGATGTCTTGTTGTAAGCATTTCTCTCTCCTTAGAAATATCTTAGTACTGCAGCCCATTGCTATGTCTAGATTCCAGGCTCACTATTATGATCAATAGATGTTTGGAGGAAGAAGCTGAATAATTGAATTACATCGCTACTCACCTAAGGTGAACAAGAAAATAGAAGCAGTTGAAATTGGTTAGAAACTATGCTTATTTAGTATTTTTATTAATTATAAATCAGTTTTGATCTCTGAAGGCATATATTATTGAAATCTGATATTTTAATATTTATTTCAATTATAAGCTCCACAGATAATATGAAAACTCTGGTACCACCATCATGAATACTTTACCTCTTACATGCTCATTATTTTTCCTTTTCTTCTTGCCTCATATTTACCCACAGCCAATATTCAGGAACTTTGATACTCTGATGGCCTTTGATGTTTGGAGACTACACTTAAACATAGTGGAAATATTTTGATCATTTCAGTAGGTTGTGAAATATTAATTTTTATATTTCATTCTTGCCCACTAGGAAAGCAGAATCAAAGTGTTTAAATAGTAAAAATATCTGAATATGAATTAATTATGTGGACAATTTAAGTATGGCAATAATTTACATTACTTATGATGAACTTTTAATATTATTAATGATTAAAGCAACTCACATTTTAAAAAAATTAGTGTGTCCCTCTTTTAAAAAAATGAAATCTGAATCAGATATGTAATTTTTAAAGAAGTTAAGAATGAAGTTTTTCTCTCTTTGAAGAAGGATAGAAAGAAAGAAGAACAAGATGTATTGGCCTCATCGTTACTTCCTGCCCTGGAACCAAAATTACCTTTGAGACATCCTAAAATTACATACAACAAAGTTTGAAAATGTGGTCTCAAGTAGAGATGGGTGTGGAGCATAAGAGGGATACCTTCCAAGTACAGATAATGTTACAACATTGTGGGGTATTTTTTCATAGTTAATTTGAAAGAAACCTTTCCCTTATGAATCTGGAGAAGAAAAGAGACATTCAGGATGTGAAGGCTATCTTCAGATATCTGAAGACAAATGCCTTCTAGGAGTAGCTTGATATGTTTTGCACATAGCCCATTTGTATCAAATTTAGACAAGTGGATGGAGAAGCCAGAGTATAGATATCACACCTTTTTCAACATGAGGAAGAACTTGCTGCTTCAAATGGGATTGGGTGGCCCAAGAACAGAGTGAGTTTGTGATCACTGTCTCCTTGTGTGAAACTTGGAGATTTTTAGCAGTGATGCTCTAAGGGTTATCTATTGTGTGAGTTGAATAATTCTTTCCAGACTTGAGATTCAGTGCTTTTAATGGAATACCAGACTTACAACAGTGATGTTTATCTTGAAGATTTATTTTTATAATAGCTTCAGGAAGAAAAATTAGATTTATATTTATACTTGAGTAAGTATCTCCCCAGAATTTATATAATACCTTAAGTATAACATATACAATATTTTTTAAAACAAAAATTAAGATTTTGGCTCTGTTCTAACAGCCCTTCTCCATGTGGGCAGTGTAACGTCCCCTCCACTTTTGCTTCCAGTGGTCTGTGACTCTGGTTTCCTTTAATAGAGATGGTCAGTTTAAAGGAGAGGCTGATCTATAGACATATAAGATAATCCAGCTTCATGGAACGCCTTGGAGTCTAATCTCCTTTAATTTATGAGTAAAAGTCTACTTAACTTCCTGGTATTTTTATTTTCCTCAGTCTTACCACATGGAATTATTTTGTTCTTTGATCCAGATCTATTCTTTCTAGGTCCCTAGACTTTGCTTTCTGGTTATAGTTCAAACATTTTTGTCTATTTCTTGTTTAAGCTGAGATTCTTTCATTTAATGCAGGCACTATTATATTTTTTAACTGATGGTGATTCCACTCTATATGAATTTTAAATCAATTATAATTCTCTGCCTACTCTAGCAATTGACCTTTCCTGAAATAATCTCTAATTCAGTAGAGATCATTATTCCTATGTCTTTTTCCCTGTCCTGCCCTAGTCTTTTTTTCCCAGGAGCTTTATTCAGTATCCTAAACAGATGGTTGATTGTCCCCAAACTAAAAACCTTGCCCAGGTTTACAAAGCCCATGATCTGACTGTTGCTTACCTTTCTGATCTCATTCCAGATTACTCTTCTCCCAGTCCACTATATACAACTTCATTGGCCATTGTGCAATTTCTTGATCAGACCAAGGTGGTTCCAGCCTGAGGCCTTTGCAGCAGGCTGCAATGCTCTTTACTCCTGATTTTTGTATGACTAGAGCTACCAATATTTTGAGATCTCAGTTTAAAGTTTACTCCCATAGATATGTCTTCCATAAAAACCTAAACAGAGTAGCCTTTACATATTACCCTACTTAAACTTTCTATGGTTTACTCATATCTATATTGTATTAAAATTATTTATGTATTTGCATTATTCTCCATCTCCCACACAAGAATGGGTGATTCATTAAAGTAGGTATGTTATCTGTTTTGTTCACCAAAATCTCGAGCACCTAGAAAAGGACCTGGCATATAATGGGAACTCAAAGCATATTTGTTGAATGAATGAACAAGTAAATGCATGTTCCATCACTCCGAATGTCCTTATATGTTAATTTGGCTGAGGGTGAAATCTTTCAACTTTATTATAACTCAAGCTTGCAAGATAAATAATAGCTTTATAATCTTTTCCTAATTTCCTTCCATAGAGCAGTAAAAAAGGTGTTAGCAAAAACATACCTGTATATATTCATGTAAAAATAATAAAAAATTAGTCACATTGTCATTTTGGATAACAAAGAGAATGATATTTTGGAAGTTAAAAGATCAGAAAAGATGCCACTGGAGGTAATTATTTAGAGATTTTAATTTTCACAGTTTTTTTGGTCTTAAAACTTGTTTCCTTCTTTGACACCTTTTCGTTCACATGAACTATCAAAATAGCACTCAGATTACCTCTTGCCTAGATATTTTAGTACACACACTTTATAATGAGTTTAAATAAAAATGTTTAAGGGTGATGCCTTAAAGTTATATTCTAAACTTTTTCATTGTAGATGGATTGTTTGACAGAATTCTTAATATAATTTTTGTTTTCTATAAGAGCTGTACCATTTGTTGTGATTTGGAGGAGAACATGTTTTTCACTCTTAATTTGCAAATATTTTATATATCAAGAAATTGTAGCGCTACTTTATAAACTTCCAGTGTTAGAAAGATGATCTAAAATTCTCTTGCTTTATCGAATTTCTTAGTTTCTCTCCTGACTATTGAATGGTAGCCCTATAGCATTATTATCATGTTTTTAATATGCATGTTATAATGTTAAAAATAATTATGTAAAGCAAGATCGTCTTCCTTGTAAAGTCTTTTTCTTTCTGTTAATAGGAACATTTTCATTATCACTCCTATTTATTACACTAGTTGCAATTAGTGTAGAGAAATATGTATCTGTACCAATTCACCAAAAAAACAAAATCCTGTACTTATATTGTTCTGTTTTTCATATCACATAATGTATGACTGTTTTGTGAATATTAAAAAATAGTCATGTTTGTGCAATTTTATTTTTTCATTATTGTCTTGGTCTTCCATATTTATTCATTTATGTAATATGTACCATTTGTCAGTAAAATCACTGTGTATGTAAATGGCAAAAATGTATGTATATCCTTTTCACCCTAATGTCCATCACAGACCTTAATATAGCATCTTTCCAAAAAGGTTAAGTGACCTGAAACATATAAATAAATATAAAACAATCCATGTAAGTGTAACAGTACAGCAAACGAAACTAATAAAAAGAAAACCTCTCTGAAACTTTCTTCACCCATTCCTTATCAAGCTTTTCATGTGTAAATATTTAGTTCAATAACCAGTATTTTTATTGACACAGATATTAGTGCCCATAAATTATAACAGAATGCTGTGAATCTTTAACAAATATAAATAATCTTTATATTTTTTCAGGTAGCTCTCTCTGCTTTCAATAATTATATTTAATTTTTAAATCATTGTTAGGAATTAGGATGAGGTTTTTTGCTTACTTAAGATTGTGATTAACTAGGACAGAGTTATACAGTCAGTATCACACTAGCGACTAGGAGATACCATGTCCTCAGCTCCAGGGTTGTCTGTGGGGCCTGGGGTGGTGGAGCCCTGGGCCTATGGCCTGCAGCAGAGAGCAGCCTGGGAATAGCCCCTAGCAGGGCTCCTCTGAGGCCGGCCTGAGCTGAGCGGAGTCTGATGGTGCGCCCTGCGGTCCCCGCAGGTGGCAAGCACAGTGAGCGACATCCAGCCCTTGCTGCTCCACTGCGACATGCTGAGCGCAGCCCAGGAGGCGCTCTACCTCCCAGACATCTCCTTCAGCAGCCAGCTGCGGAGCGCGCCACTGCTCATCGTGGACAAGGGCCCCGTGGAGCTGCCAGAGGAGTTCGTGGTCCAGGTGCCCAAGGAGCTCAGATCTCAGCCCAAGGTGCGGCCAGCGGTGGGAAGAGGGCTGCGGGTGGCTGGGCAGGGGCTCCTGGGAGGCGCAGCCTCAGGCAGTGGCCCAAGTGTGTCTTCTCATATACTTAGTCTCTGCATCCACTCAATAGTGGCTGATGTTTTCACCCACTGATAACCTGATCTGTTGTTGAACAATGCATGCCTGTTCTACATTAGAGCCTCATCACTATCTCAGAACGTTTGACTTTAAAGTTCTGATTGGATTTGAAATATTTTTGCATTATCACAGGAAGTTTACAATTACTCTTAGTGACAATGTCAATGGCTGTAAAATTTGAATGGTTGTAAAAGACATGTTTTAACATTTCTGATCATCTGCTTGTTTGAAATAAAATTCACATCAGCGGAAACTACCAAGATTTTTGAGGCGATTATGGTGAAAACATCTTGGTTAAGAATTGTGTATAGTCATCTAAAGCATAAAACCTGATCCTAATTTTCTTATGAAAATGTTGGAAAGTGCTTTATTTATATTATCTCTGCAGCTGGCAAGTACAGTGAGTGACATCCAGCCCTTGAAGTTCCAGTGAGGAATATTATACAATATTTGCACAAAATTCAATACTGTTCTTTTCCTCAATACTTTGTATATATACTTTTTACCTTTATGTAATATTTAGGCAATATAATTTTTCTTTTTACTCACCAAACTCAATACAGACACTCTTATCCCTCTAATTTCCCTCAGGGAATATAATATGTATAATGTAATATAATATAACATCATAATATACAAGCATTATATAATATTTATATGTTTATTAAGTATTTATATAATCATATAAATATTATATTTGTAATTTTCTTCATGTCTGCAGCATGAAAAAGGCTGAGAAGCATTTGGCAGGTGGAACCATGAGTATCAAGCCTTGTTCCAAAACACACTCACCTCTCCTATAGCATAATTTAATAATTATGCAGGAAATACTGGCAAAGGAACATGAAATGCCACTATATTAGCTGAGCTTATCTTCTAAGCCCCATTACAGAAATCCCTGGTAAAATAAGTTGGAATACTGTGTTTTAGTTCAGGGACTAAGGTTAATGCATCACCCTTTGATCAATTTGAGATTTAAGAGACCTGTGAAATTTAAACCTAATTCTTCAATTACTGCAGCCACATAAAAAGAGTAAGTGTGTGGTGACTTTCACACTCACAGTGGCTCTGTCCACTCAGTCACATTGTTCAATCACTGGCCTAGAATCTTTCAGTTCAGATTAGCATGTCTTTCCTAGTGGTGATGATTGGGGGGCAGTGGTGGTGGGTAAGTGCATATGTTTCTACAGAAGCATGTAGAATTGACTCCAGTGTGTTTGGAAAAATCAGGTAAAATGTATGGTAAACATTCTTTAAGAACTACAATTTTTTCTTTTCTGTTTTGCTTTGCATTACCATTTCAAACCTTAAATTCTCTAAATTGGGTGCAGTTACATTTTTCACAAAATGTGCTTCAGCAATCACAAAGTTTTCATAATACTGGCTTTTAATTTATATTGTAAAATAGTAATATGAAATTAATATTATTTAATTTACCCAATGCATATATGTTCATCAGTTTCTAGTACTATTGAAGAAGAAATCTAGAAATGAATTTTAATTTTTGAGTAGATGTTATAAATGTTTAAATCAGCAACTATAACATAAACACAACACACACACACATAAACACCTGGCAATTCTGTCTTGTGACAAAAATTTAGAATAGCAGTCAATTAGAATAGTTTTTCCTATAGTACTTTTACTAAGATGTTGGCTGAATTTTTACATTCCCCCACTTTTATAGCTTAATAATATTTTTCTATATTATGGGCTTTTACTTTTTGCCACATATGTGGCAGATTACAGTGTAGTAATGGGATTAAGTCAGGTTTTCTATCAACTTATAAATAGGAAAATTGTATTCTATTCTGTTTTGGACAAAGACAAAAATGAGGGTACAAGGCAACCTTTATGTGATCTTGTAAATGAAGACTGATGTAAATGTCATGTGATTTAAAAGGAGCCTACAGAATCATGTTAATCTGTTATGATGAAGCCATACTTTTTGAAAGTTGCTTTTGTGCAAAAGTAATTTTATCAGTGAGATAGAGAACAACGGAAGGTCATCTTAAATGTTCCCTATAGAAAGAATAAAGAAAGTGAAGTAAATATTACAGGGGCATACTCTTTCTTGATATAGACGATAGTACATACAGCTAGAACACTTGGACCGTTATTAAAAATGAAATTAAAATGGGAGATACCACATTACCTTGAGTTCTTCAAATTGAAAAGACATGAAGAATTCAAACTAGAAAATGTCAATGAACTCCAGCTTCCTTCCTTCCTCCCTCTGTCTTTCTAAAACAAAAGCAACAGTATGTTATAGAAACAAGATAATTTAAGATTTAGAAAAATCAGAAAAAAATGGAAATAATGAAGACTGATATTAATGCAGTCTTTCATTGGAAAATAAAATTGTGATTACTTTAAAAAAGTTAATCGGGCTTCCCTGGTGGCGCAGTGGTTGAGAGTCCGCCTGCTGATTCAGAGAACACGGGTTCGTGCCCCGGTCCGGGAAGATCCCACATGCCACGGAGCGGCTGGGCCCCTGAGCCATGGCCGCTGATGAGCCTGCGCGTCCGGAGCCTGTGCTCCGCAACGGGAGAGGCCACAACAGTGAGAGGCCCGCGTACCGCAAAAAAAAAAAACAGCTAACCTCTATTTGTTCTATCGATAGCCAAACAAGCAAATAGAAACCCAATACGCACAGCCTTAACAATATAACAAAAACCCTTTTATTTGTTTGAAATTAAACTTTGCCCCTTTTTTCCCCTTTACATTCATTTGACTCCAGATAGCTAATAGCAGTTCTTGAGAGTTAATGAGTGTTCGGATTCACAGGAATTAGGACTTCACAGTAGAGCAGCAAAGCATGAAGAATTAAAAAACATTGTTCTCAGAAGACCTTTTTCTCTTTAGCGTACTAAGGCAGAAGAAAGTCTGAGGGCAGATTGCACAGTTAATGACTAGATATCACGACATTTCCTTGAAGCTAAAGGAATGTTGATGTGTTTTTTATCAGCATTTTCCTTGCTTTAATTGTGATTTTCATGCAGATGCTTAAAAAGTTCATTGAGATGATCTACAAATAACCCTCCTGAAAGCCATACGTACAGTATGCAGGGCTCATACAAGTGTTCTCTCAGAGTACAGCTAAAGCATTTCAATCCTGACAAGTCATAAAAACTCTACCCTGTGCTCATTTTTTTTTTTAAACATCTTTATTGGAGTATAATTGTTTACAATGGTGTGTTAGTTTCTGCTTTATAACAAAGTGAATCAGCTATACATATATCCCCATATCTCCTCCCTCTTGCGTCTCCCTCCCACCCTCCCTATCCCACCCCTGTATGTGGTCACAAAGCACTGAGCTGATCTACCTGTGACATGTGGCTGCTTCCCACTAGCTATCTGTTTTACATTTGATATTACATATAAGTCCATGCCACTCTCTCACTTCGGCCCAGCCTACCCTTCCCCCTCCCTGAGTCCTCAAGTCCGTGCTCTACGTCTGCATCTTTATTCCTGTCCTGACCCTAGGTTCTTCAGAACGATTTATTTTTTAGATTCCATATATATGTGTTAGCATACCGTATTTGTTTTCTCTTTCTGACTTACTTCACTCTGTATGAGAGACTCTAGGTCCATCCACCTCTCTACAAATAACTCAATTTCGTTTCTTTTTATGGCTGAGTAATATTCTATTGTATATATGTGCCACGTCTTCTTTATCCATTCGTCTGTTGATGGACACTTAGGTTGCTTCCGTGTCCAGGCTACTGTAAATAGAGCTGCAATGAACATTGTGGTACATGACTCTTTTTGAATGATGGTTTTCTCAGGGTATATGCCCAGTAGTGTGATCGCTGGGTCGTATGGTAGCTCTATTTTTAGTTTTTTAAGGAACCTCCATACTGTTCTCTATAGTGGCTGTATCAATTTACATTCCCACCAACAGTGCAAGAGGGTTCCCTTTTCACCACACCCTCTCCAGCATTTATTGTTTGTAGATATTTTGATGAGGGCCATTCTGACCGGTGTGAGGTGATACCTAATTCTGGTTTTGATTTGCATTTCTCTAATGGTTAGTGATATTGAGCATCCTTTCGTGTGTTTGTTGGCAATCTGTATATCTTCTTTGGAGAAATGTCTTTTTAGGTCTTCTGCCCATTTTTGGATACGGTTGTTTGTTTTTTTGATATTGAGCTGCATGAGCTGCTTGTAAATTTTGGAGATTAATCCTTTGTCAGTTGCTTCATTTGTAAATATTTTCTCTGATTCTGAGGGTGGTCTTTTCGTCTGGTTTATGGTTTCCTTTGCTGTGCAAAAGCTTTTAAGTTTCATTAGGTCCCAATTATTTATTTTATTTTTTTTAATTTCCATTTCTCTAGGAGGTGGGTCAAAACGGACCTTGCTGTAATTTATGTCATAGAGTGTTCTACCTATGTTTTCCTCTAAGAGGTTTACAGTGTCTGGCCTTATATTTACGTCTTTAATCCATGTTGAGTTTATTTTTGTTCCTGGTGTTAGGGAGTTTTCAAATTTCCTTCTTTTACATGTAGCTGTCCAGTTTTCCCAGCACCACTTATTGAAGAGACTGTCTTTTCTCCATTGTATATTCTTGCCTCGTTTATCAAAGATAAGGTGACCATATGTGCGTGGGTTTATCTCTGGGCTTTCTATCCTGTTCCATTGATCTATATTTCTGTTTTTGTGCCAGTACCATACTGTCTTGATTACTGTAGCTTTGTAGTATAGTCTGAAGTCTGGGAGCCAGATTCCTCCAACGCCATTTTTCTTTCTCAAGATTGCTTTGTCTACTCGGGGTGTTTTGTGTTTCCATACAAATGGTGCAATTTTTTTTTTCTAGTTCTGTGGAAAATGCCATTGGTAGTTTGATAGGGATTGCGTTGAATCTGTAGATC